CTTAGACCTTTGCAGTTCAGCTCTTTATATTGTCAAATTTGACTGCCCTTTCACTGGAATCATGCACAATTTACTACGCAAAATACTATTTAGTGCAAGTCAAGTCACTTGAGTATGTCCTGAATTCTCAATCCTGATTGTGATCCTGGACAACAATGAAAATACTTTGCTTAGAGAGTTGTTTATGCCTGTGCTTTTTAAATAGCATTTATCAGATCATATGCAAATCATATTCTGCAGCTTTTTGTGGCTTCAGGAGTAAAATGTACATTCTTGCATAGATAATAGTGCTTAGCAAATGAGTAATCTCCATTTAAGAGTTCTCATTTTCAAACTTCTCAACTGAAGCATCTGAAAGAAGATAGAAGCAAAACTGTAACGTACAATTCCAACAATGTCAAACAAAGACTCCTCCTAAATGGCATCCCATTCTGGTTAAAGAAACGTGAATTCTGTGTAAACTAATCTCCGTGAGTGAAGCTAGTTTTGATCACACCATCTCTCAAATAAATAATACTTATGATGAGATAAATGGGAAAAGTGGGTATGCATTGTGGCAACCAAACAGAATGTAATTTCAATGTAATTATTTGGAGGGGGGAGGAGGGAGAAACAACCATTGAAACCTTATGCTTATTACAACTCACTGAAGTACATTCTTTCTCCCTCGACAAGGAAGTTGTCAAAACAGATAATTATGGAAATGCTAGAAATAGTTTGAAAGAAGGCAGGAGCTGTCACAAAAAGTTTCTTTTTTTAACATTTCACCTTCCATCCAACTGTGCAATTTAGAAGCCACTGAGTTTTATTACTGTGTAACAAGTACATAACACAGAAGAAAAGTAGTCATTTACTGTGATGTTCTATTTTAAACTATGTTCAGGCTCTTGACACTAATTAAATGAATGTGCAATTTTACCTTACTTCCATGAAATATTAACATATATACACATGCATGCAAAGCAACAGTGAGGTTTCAATTTTAACTGAGAATTCTTGTAGCTCTGCAGTCCAACGTGCACTACAGAGCAAGCAGCACCCAGCTTAACAGTGAAGTGACTTCTAGCTGTGTTCACAGAGGAGCATTATAATAGACACACAGCTGGCAATCGCCAGGTATCACACTGGCAGGTTCAGAGACAAACCACCTTTCTCTCTATACCAGTGTCTCTAGGCATTGCCATAAGAACCTTCTCTGGTTTTACCTCATGCATTTCCTGGCACACCAAGATGGTCTGTGACTTTATTTCTAGCTCCATTCTACAGATGAGGCCATAAGCAATGGCAAGTTACTCAAATACTCTTGAACCCCAGGACACTGTCAGAAGTAGTGCAGAGCTACAAGGTCTATTACGGGGAAAAATAAGAGATTTCTAAATACACTCAGGTACCCTGTGTTCCAGACCATAGGATTCTTTAAAAACCCCTACAAATCTGATGCTCTCTGAAATACTGAATAATAATAGGAAAAAAAAGTTAGGCACGGAAAGGATTAAAAAACCACTATATGCCTGATATTTGTAAGGTTTGCTACATCCTTAGAAACATGCCTCTCAGTTCCTTCCAGGTTGAAGACTCAATGTGTCTTAAGATACAAGACACCTAAACCAATTTTGACATGACTCCACTACGTACGGGGCCGGGGGAACTGGCTGTGTGTTACATACACACTAATGGTATGAAAATGAGAGACGGATAGAGACACAGATACTCTACTGAACAGCCACCATAACCAAAGCTTAAACGTTATCTCGTGCATCCAACCACTGTCTCCATTAGGAGCTGCACTAACAGAAAGTAATAATTTATCTCATTAGTATTTTTAATATATTTACATAATGCTAACTCAAATTTTAAATAAAGCTTTTTCTTTTAAGGGGATGTGACCCAGAATGAAAAGATGAGATACAAAATTCAGCAAAGCTTCTGAATGCCATGCAAAGTTTCTATCAACAAAGTGCTGAGAATTCTCAAGAAGTTCTCATCAGCAGAACTTTGCTTGAAATTCACATGGGTGCACAAAAAGAGTGTCAGATACCCGCAGTGGTCCTATAGGTGTTACATTGTTTAACATCTTTTAAATTTGGAGAGATCTGCTTTGGTGACAGAAAAGCAAAGTAAGCCCATTTTTTTTTTCCTTTGCAACTGAGATGTGAAAAATCCAAAACAAAGATGCCACAGTTTAAATCAGGAGTGAAATCTATAGCCAGAAGGAAAACTGGGAGGCAGGATGTATACGAAACAGCACGTTTACATTTACCTTACAACCTAGTTGATGAGCCACACTGAACGTGGACTATGGCTCAAGAACAGAAGGGAATAGTCTTTTAAAGAAATAATTTGCATGGATGGAATATCACTCCTATAAAACAACTGCTATATCCCAAGACAACTTTTGTTAATAAATTCCAACAACATTAATTAGCAGGTACACTAATTTGCATATGCAGTGATAAATTTTAGATTTGCTTCCATAAAAATAACATTTGATTAAAAATATTTTAATATTTGTAGCCATTAAAACATTTTCATTAATTTAAAACTATAAGCTCTCTAGAAAAGAACGCATTTCCTATTTGCCCAAAAACATGCTCCATGCATCAAGTTTCCTATATACATAATAAAGAAATGTAATAGTCTACTTAATTATTCATCATTTGTTAAATTGATTAAAATATAATTTACAGCTGCACAGGAACAAAAGTTCTCAGCCAACCATATCTGACCATACACAATATATATAAAGGGACAGATCACATAATGCTATAGTAGTGCTAAGATATACACATACAAGCTCAGACTGTCGCCTGTTATAAAGCAGTATGCGTGTATATATATGTGTATACACACATGCATGCTTACTCTGGATGCAGACATGATCAAAAATTCTCTATCGAGATGGACTCCCTGATTACCATAGGAACAGAATACGTCTCAGCGCAAGGTAGGAATCAACTTGATCTGCATTCATTTGCAAAGTTATCACCCTCATCATAAGTGAGTTGAGAATGAGACTTGGCATATTTCAAGATGTAATAAACAACCAACTGTTTCCAGTATCCCAGAAGCTGACTTTTAAAATCCAAGGCTTCCAACCATTGATATGCCTTACATCACTGGTCAGATTAGAAATAACCATTCTTGGGTTACAACTAGCCTACTACACAGAAGTCTAAATGACTTCCTCCAAAAACAGGGAAAAAGCAGTGGGGGCACAGGGAGGAAAGATACTGTTAAGTATGTGAAACACTTAACACTGAACAAGTTGATGTGTGAAGTCACTGGAGTATTCTTCCATTAAAAAAAAAAAAAGTATCTAAAGAAAGAGATATAAAGTAATTTATTCTGTGAGAAAACAAAAGCTTTACAATAGAAACAAAAAAAAAAGATCACTTATGTGTTTGTGGAAGAAAAAATGGCCTGAACATAAAATATTATCAAGTCTTAAGAACATCATCAACAGACTTAGCTGGTGTCATGACACAGCTTCCTTGACCAGTGTAAGGAAGGACAACTCACTTTCATTTTTATTTAAGTGACTGACACATCATGATGGTTATGAATGACAATTCGTTGGCCTACAGTATTCAGCAAACCACTGGTTCCCCAAATGTGGTCATCAGTGCTATCGGTAAGATCAGGAAGATTCAGCTGATTTGTGAAGCCATATCTCTGCAACATTTTCAATTAAAGTTTGATCAGAGAGATCATCATGAGGGCTCTTAGCCTGAGCAGTTTGGCAACCTCAATCATCCACACCTGAGAGCTGAATAAAAGATAAGTTTAACAAATATAAAAAAGCCAAATGTAAAAAGCTAAAGAGGGATAGTAGGTAAACAGAGGAGAGCAAAGGAACAGAAACTTTAATGAAGTTTAACATATGTATTTGATATGGAAAGAAAAAAAAAAAAGATGACAGCCAAAGGACAGGAAAAAAGGAAAACCATCCCAAAAAGTGGTATTACAGATCACAAAGGTAGGTCTCAATACGCACCGCTCCAGAGATTTATGCTTTAGGAACAGTAATGCTGTTTTGTGGTGTTACAACATGATGTTGACAGTAAAATGTCATTAAAGCAAAAATGCAAAATTTGTGGACTTTGAATCCCTTTACAGAAATAGTCTAGTCTCATGAGAAATACATGAAAGAATGAGGAGATTTGTTATACAGGGTTTCAACATGAAATACGGTCACAAATATTCCCTTGTTCCATTGCTGTCAAACAGTAGTTTACCATAACAGCATTACTGTCAAAAAGGGAGTATAATATGAAATAGCAGCCAGTAAAGTTTATATAACTAAAACACTAAAGCAAGTCAGTCCTACAAACAGGGACCAAACAGTATTCTGTATGTACTTCACTAGTATAATTATATTTTTAATTATATCGTGGTATAAATGTTTGTGGTATAGGACTTTGAAACCTGAAGAGAAGTAGATCGTACTTATCACCCTACACTAATACATAAAAAAAATGTTAGGCTGCACTATCACATATTTAAAATGTGACTGCAGCATTATTTTAAAAATATTAGCAAGAATTTTTAATGTACATATATTTGAACTACCTTTTCTTATACAGAAAAAAAAAATTTAGAGATTACTTGCAAGAAAAGATAACTACTTTTCAAATTCTGGTATGTCACTTCTGCTCTGCAGGTAAAGTACCTAGCTACCTCATCAAACTAAAGGTATAAGCAGTCCTGAAACTCTGAATGCACTATTACTCCCAATAATCTTTCATTGTCCATAAATTGCTTTTTCTGGAGGGTAAAATATTTAGAACACTAGTGATCCACAGTTCTCTCACCTGTGGAGACTCCTTGCTCCTGGTTTTGAAACAAACCAGTACCTCCAGCACCAGGAAGAGCTGCTGCTTAGGCAAGCAACATATTAAATTCTCCTCCAAAAGTGACAAATTACTGGACAGATGGGTCCACTATAAATTAAGTATTGTAGTTTAATTACAACAACTGAAAATTTAAAGACAATTTCTCACCTCAATGCTGGGTGGATCATTTCTCTTCTTTCTTATCCATGCTGTAAAAGAAATAAAAATCAAATGGATTATTTCAAAGAACACAGACAGTACTAAAACTCAAAAATATGATGATTTGTAACAGAAAGCAAATGTTTATATAAAAAATTACAATAGAATTTGCCACAACCTGGCGAGCCATATTATTTCCCAAAATATAAAGACCCAAGATGTTATTTCCCATATCAATACTTTCAGTATTCACAGAAGGAAGGGGGAAGAAAAGGGAAAAGACAAAAATCACCTTTGCGAGGACATCTTGGGCAGAGTTTACATGCTACCCTGGCTGCCAAAAAAGGGCTTAAAAAGCAGGGCTCATTGCCCAGGCCTGCTGTTGAGCTTGCTATACAGAGCCAAGCTTTGCCCTGAGAAAGTGACAAAATACTGCTGAACAGCATGAAAAGCCGTAGACCGCTCTGGAGAAAGAGGGGTTCGGCATTGTTAAAGCTGAAAACCTGTTTATGTTAGTGCCACCTAGAAATCCTTTACAGGAATACAAGATACAGCCCCAAATGTGACTGAAGGGCTGCAGAGCCCTGACTGCATGAGACCACAGAGGGGAGGTATGATAAGAAGCAGTAGATAAGGGGCAACCTATGGATGTGATCTCTCTGGACTTCTGTAAGGCCTTGGACACGGTCCCCCACAACATCCTGATTGCCAAATTGGAGGGATATGGATTTGATGGGTGGACTGTTCAGTGGATAAGGAACTGGCTGGATGGTCGCATCCAGAGGGTGGTACTCAATGGCTCAAAGTCCAGATGGAGAGCAGTCACAAGTGGTGTTCCTCAAGGGTCCGTGCTGGGGCCAATACTGTTTAATATTTTTATCAATGATATAGACAGGGGGATTAAAGGCACCATCAGCAAGTTTGCAGATGACACCAAGCTGTGTGGTGTTGTCGATGCACCAGAGGGATGGAATGTCATCCAGAAGGACCTGGACAGGCTGGAGAGGTGGGCCCAGGTGAACCTCATGAGGTTCAACAAGAGCAAATGCAAGGTTCTGCACCTGGGCCAGAACAATCCTCACCATCAGTACAGACTAGGGGGTGAGGTATTAGAAAGCAGCCCTGAGGAAAGGGGCTTGGGGGTGCTGGTGGATGAGAAGCTGGACATGAGCAGGCAGTGTGCACTTGCAGCCCAGAAGACCAATCACATCCTGGGCTGCATCAAAAGATGCGTTGCCAGCAGGTCCAGAGAGGTAATTCTTTACTTTATTTTGCTCTGGTGAGACCTCACCTGGAGTATTGTGTGCAGGTCTGGAGCCCTCAATATAAGAAGGACATGGACCTGATGGAGAGGGTCCAGAGGAGGGCCACAAGGATGATCAGGGGGATGGAGCACCTCTGCTACAAGGACAGGCTGAGGGAGCTGGGGTTGTTCAGCCTGGAGAAGAGGAGGCTCCAGGGAGACCTAATACGAGCCTTCCAGTACCTGAGAGGGGGGGCTACAGGAAGGCCAGGGAGAGCCTGTTTACAAAGGCCTGTAGTGACAGGACGAGGGGAAATGGCTTTAAACTGGAGGGGAGCAGATTTAGATTGGAGATTAGGAGAAAGCTCTTTACTGTGAGGGTGGTGGGGCACTGGAACAGGTTGCCCAGGGAGGTGGTTGAGGCCCCATCCCTGGAGATATTCAAGGTGAGGCTCGACGAGGCCCTGGGCAACCTGGTCTAGTTGGGGGTGTCCCTGCTGACTGCGGGAAGGTTGGACTAGATGACCTTTGGAGGTCCCTTCCAGCCTGGACAACCCTATGACTCTATAACTGAAATGGGGCTCCCTCCGTCACTCAGCCAATTCATGCTGGAAAAGACAGCAGAGAAGGAAAAGCAGTGGCAGTGACAATTGTCCTCTGGCTCAGCTTTTCCATGATGGACCAAGGCAAACAAACTTATGCCCACTCCCACTGCAAACACTGACAGCGAGTGTGGGACTGACAGGAGGTGGCAACCCAAAGGGTCCCCATTGCAGAGGGAGAAGCTGCACTGCATCAGGTCTTGCTTCATCCAGTCAATGAATTATTACAGATAGCTCCAACTATTACAGGCATTATTTAGGCAAACAAATTACCTGACTGTGGACAAGGAGACAACCATCACTTTTTATAAGTATCGCTACTGTAGCATTTTTTCATGCCTTTTCAATCTACGCGATTGGTAGGTGCTGGGCTGTGTATTTAGTAGACATTTGTCTTTTCTGCTTATAATTTTCAAATGAATGAGTAGCAGAATGCAAGTGACTAGTAATGAGCAGAAGGACAAACATAAGGAAAGCCAGTTCCAAGTGCTGAGACATGGCAAAATGTTCTTTTGATATGTTTATCTGGATAATTAAGACTTCCATTACTGTGCTTGAAAATTAGAGCAAAAATGACATATTAATTATCACCCAGTCAAACTCCTGGTCTGACTTGTAGCCGTCTATAAGGTTTCAGAAATGCTTTAAAAAGGAACTATTCCAAATTTTAATTTTCTAATACCATCTGTGCTGCATTTTGAGGGGAACAGTCAGACAGCAAGTCCAAGACACTAAACTGCACAGAGTCATAATGTCACCTCACCACTGAAAATACAATTACACATAGGGTGAAACACTAATACTGCTCTGCTTCAGCAAAATTATGAAACTGGTTTTATGAGGAATAGGCTCCAGTTAACATAAGAACGGAATTAAGGGAGGCAAAATGGCATTACATAGCTTGGAATTTAACCATGATGGCAAGGCCAACAGCCTTTACTCAAGGTTAATGGTACATCACCTGTAATGATATGAAGCAAGGCATTACTTTTGGTTCTTGTCTACCAGATGACAGTCTCTGAAGATGGATTCTTTTAAATATCATTTCCTAAACATCTTTTCTTAAAAGCAGTCCCTGCCAGCTCTTCTTAGCCGTGTTTTGGTCCTAGCAAAGATTAGACCCAAATTTGCCATTGTGCAGAAGCAACTGAGCACTGAATAGCCAACATACTCTTTTTGCAAAAGTTTTATGTGAGCAGAAAAAAACCCAGCCCAATAAGATAATCCAAAATACAAAACAATGACTTTCTACTATATCTATACAATTAGAAAATGTTTTGCACGTACCTGTAGCACTTTCAAACACCTAAAGTTTATGAGAATTTCCAAATGCAAAATCTGGCAAGATCAGAGACATAACTGGGATGACTGAGACCCAGCACTTCTTAGCTGGCAACCTTGCAGACAATCTTTGCAAAAGGACCAGTGATGCTATTAGAGAAAATCATTGTACGTAAGACTTTCCTCCTAACAGAAGTCATCTTTGTCCATACTTAGCAACAGTTCCAACGTCACCATTTAAAACAAGAAAGTGGTAGAGATAGCAGGTATAGCAAGGTATGTATTCTAGACACTAACCAATAAAAGATACAGCTGGAGAAAAAAAGAATAAGTATAGTTTAAAATGTTTTGTAAAAAAAAAAAAAAAGTTTTAAACCATCGAAATCTAAGAGATTACTTTCAATAAAGTATCATCTTCCGCCTTGTCTCTGTCACTTGGAAATATGGTAACACTCAGTTCAACTCCACAGCTCTCAGCACCTAAAAATGGCTTTTTTTTTTAAATTGTCAGAATTTCCTTAAAATGTCAGCTGCGTTTATCTTCAACTGATTACAATTAGTGATTCTTAAAGAAAAATTCTAAAAAGCTGAAATCCTACTAAGCTGCAGTTAAAAAACACTGCTGAAATATCACCATTACAAGAGATTTTCTTTCAATAGCAGATGGGACTTTTAGGCAGTTATTTGATTAATGATTTTCAGATGACTGGAATACTTCTATTAAAAGATTTTATCATTTAATTATCTGCCTCAGTTTAACAAGCCACAGGCAGAACAGTGACGGGTAACACAATGACACGTGTCCTGTGAACAGAAGTGGTGAACCAAGGAGCGTTATGCAACACATTTTCATTCATTAGTGGATCTCAATTAGTACCAACACTCAAAAGCAACAAAAAAATCCTTAACTTAGGAAGATTTCTCATATCAAACATTCCATTATGAGACTGTATCTATTTAAATACATAAATAATGCACACAGTCACAACATCATGCTAGTTTTCTTTCCAGCTATAACAAGCATTTGAATGCATGGTTTTATAGGAGCCATCAACCTTCCTTCTTTCAAATAAATGTCAGGACTGCAAATCTTTTTTCAGTTTAACCCTAAATGAAACTTGCTGACACAAATATTGGATACTATTTTCCAAATTACTAAAGGTAAACTCTCTTTATCACCGCTAATGAGCTGCATCAGAAAAATCATTATTTAATGAAAGACTCCTTCACTAGCTGAGGGAGAAATACAGTAACAAAATTTACATAAGATGAAGTTAGTTAGCTTTAATATATAATATTCCCTCTGTGCAAATCCATTTCTGAAATAGTCTACGTAAAGCACAGCTCAAGACATGTTACAAGATCAAAAGCAAAGAAAACATCATCTGAACTGACTTTATTTTAGTATATTATACTTTAGTATCTAATAGTTCTATCAGTCTTTCAAAAGCAATACATTTTTCTAACAATTCACCTGACCACTCCTCAGCTTTTAGGGACAAGAATGGGAGGACTCCAATATATTTAATCTCCACCAGTTTTCAGGTGGCACTCTTTCAGACAGAAAATTTTAAAAGTCTTTCATTTTTTTTTAAGTTATCAACAATAGTATGAGCATCCAATACAAGGTTCAAAAAACCACTAACACCTCATAACTCAGGCACGAGAGAAATTTATGGTAACAATTAAAGGAAAAATTAATATGTCTAAAAATATAACTAGTGATTTAGTACTGAGTTCAAACTAATTTTAACAAAATCCAAGTAAAATTGTATCTTGAAATGAAGAAATTTTGTATTCTCCCTGGAAAATATAGTCACTGAATTTAATTTAGCAATGGAAAAGCACTCCCACCTTTCTTTGCACTCTTCATTACACTTTTAGTCAATGCAGGTTTATGTTACTGAACAGATTTATACCATATTTTTTGATGGAAACAAGGCAGGTAGGGGGTTTATTACATATTATTTGAACACCATATGCACACATGCATATACTTAATTAAAAAGTGTCCAGTGACAGTTATAGCCGGAAAAGATTTCCAGATGAACACTCCTGTTCCCTACGCCAACAAAACATAATGCCCTCACCGTTGTCAGTCGAGATGTTTTAAACCTGGTACCGTAGATCAGTTAACATGTATGTACTGCGTGCAACCAAAACACGCTTTCCTGCCTCCCCAAAAAGCTTTGGCAAAATGAATCATTGCCTCCATTTCAAACTAATTATGCTGCTGCTTTTCATTTTATCTGGATGGCCTTCCTGCATTCTGTACTCATTGTAATGCTACTTTTGTCTAAGAGGAATTTTGCAAGATAGCTGGACATTTCCTACCTTGAGACCCTTGCATTCTTTTATCAGCACTCATTTGCATTCTTATTAGTATGCATGAGATTTTCACTGAACTTTAAGACTCCTACTGGCACATAACACACTGTAATGAGCGTAAAAGTGAGCATGCAAATTAAGACTCCCATTAATCACTAAATGTTAGCAGGAAAGACAAAAAAAAAAAGACTAGGAGTAGATGGGCAATAAAATGCTGCATGAAGCATGCAATCTCATGAATGTCTATAGGTATGTAAAATTACTGATGTCCTCTCAGGAGGACTATTGACATGTCCTGAGGAAGTAAATTACACGTTCTACAGTAGGTGAACATTCAGAACTAGCATTACAGAAAGGTTAACTGTGGTGTGCATTCCTGTGTTAGGGAAAAGTAAAGAACACACTCCCACATTATAGTAAAGTATAAGAGGCTTCACCTAAACAAAAACAGGTAATAATTGTATTGTGTGTAAGGATTACATTCTAAATTCAAAAATACAGTACAAAAAGAAGCACACTTTTGGATTTCTAAAATGAAAATCAACTTAGTTTTCTGTGTACAAATATCTAAGACTAAAGATAACACAGGGGATTATGATTCCATTCCTTCATTATCGAGCACGTTTCAGTTTTACAAAAGCCTAAACATACATTCACAACTTTTTTAAAATTCACAGGTGTGAGAATTTAGGAAATTTAATCCTGTGGAGCACTTAAAACTAACATATTCAGGATGAAAGTTCCAGGCGAACCCGTCAGGAGTAAGCCCTCAACCCTGTATTCACTACACTAAGGACTAAAACACAAACATCCTCTCCAGACTCTGAGAAACAACTTGCACAGATTGAGCCTGTAATCTGGATGATTGGTTTATCTACTTGCCTTATAGCTTTATGCTCAGTCTTGTTTACCTTACTACATGTTGGTAACCTGATAAACACAGCATCAAAATCAGCCCCTTAGTTTACCAGCTGTCCAGGCTGAATGTCTTAGATGCACAATGAGATTTAACTCAGCCTTCTTCAAATTTCACTACAGCCTGCTCCCACTCCTTAAAAGATCCTTTGTCCTTGGTTTTGTGCAAGTTCTTCTCAGACAACTCATGCCTTTAAATACTTCCAGCTTTTAGTCGTTAACCATTTTTAGTCATTATAGGTTCTTTTTCTAGTAAGCACAATGGGAAACAAGGGGAGGAAAACGGTGCTGGGATGACTGCTTTTATATCAGGTGGCCATTACCAATTACCCATAAGTGAAAAAAATGAGTCCTGACAGAACAAAGACAGCACAGGTGAAATCAGTTCTCCACATATCCCAAGAAAAAGGAGGGGAAATAAGACAACAGAATCTTTAGCACAGTCCTTAAGGTGAAAAGCCTGAGAAGGCTAGGCAAGGACACTGCCAATGCTGAACCAGCCAAAATTGAAGCGTAGAGGCCACAAATGTCAGTGCATATACAGGATTCAGAGAGAAGGCCCCTGGAGATGAAAGAAAGAATGTGCCCAGCAGAGAGAATTTAGATCACTAAAAATCTACATAATTTCCAAGAGTAAAAAGAAAACAGAAGTTAGAAATGCTATACAGCCTTCTAACTTATATTCATCTTCTACCATTCAGAGAAAACAGCAAGTATTTTAGAAATCCTTTTGCAAAGTCTCAGACTATTTCCTGGAATGATCAGCATCCATGAGAGCACAAAATATAAAGTGACACCCACAGAAAAAATGCATTGGGAAATTTTCAAGAGTCTGGAAAGAAGATACAGAGTGACAGTTCAGCACAGTTCTTGTGGGCCTGGGAAACTTCTAGACCAATCTTAAAGAGGAAAAAGTAGGGACAGAATTGTAATGAGCCTTTCAGCAAAGTGTATCTAAAAACCTTGTATTCAACTGTTCCCCCCCAGATAATCGGCTTCTCTAGCATTATTTGAATTCGCTACTCTTCCTATTCCTTCCCATTTCTTACTCATTGAGAATTTTTCATTTTACAGGAGGCAGAAAAGAAGTCATGAGGAACTGAACTTCAGAGCATCCCACATCCCTAATTCACACAATATATAGCAGAGGCACATTAGTTCTTTGAACAGCCTCTATACCCACAGCAGAAATACCACTTTTGACTTTTTAAAGTTACTCATACTTCCACAAAACTGTGTGTAATGTTTAAATTGGCATTGGACAAAAAAATACAGGTTAACCTTTTCTTATGGAATTCCCATACTTTATCTGTCAGAAACATGAACTACACACTTATTCTGCTTATGGAATGCACAAGGGGAGGAAAAAAACAGATGGATGTATCTTTTCTTTCTGCTTCTAGAGAAATCTAGCACTAAAAAGGAAAAAATTGTTACTTATCTGCAAACTGTAAGTTTTCCTTTTCTCTGTGAATTCTATTTGGTGCTAACAAAATCACAATGAAAAAACCTTCAGTTACAAAGATGAGGAAGTTAAGTGTTAAAGGTGTAAATGCAGCTCATAAAATGGGACAGACCAATTGTTCTTCCTTCACTATAACAAACCTGAGTAAGATGCCTTTGACTTGCAAAAAACATCTTTTTAGACAAGTCCGTACTATAGGGTACCTAACTCTCAAGTCCAGGGTCCCTATAGTGGTGTTTGCCAAAAGCACCCTTCCAAGCAGCTGTACCCTCCCATGTACCACACCATCAAATCACATGAATTTGTGCTAAGGTTTCTGAAGAGAGATGAAGTGCAGGCTTACTAGTGCTACGCCAATTCCAAGGAACAGGTTCATACAGCAATTCAATTGAACAAGTCTAAGACTCTTTGTGAAAAGAGTGATGAGCTCACATTCTTCTGAGACAGTCTGACTGTCCATGTTGTTTTCTGTTAATTCCAGCCAAGCACAGCAGTTAGAGACTATTGGACTGCATTTTTCAACACCTAAAGGCAGCAGGAGGTCTTACATGAGAATTCATTCACACCTGGGCAGAGTTACCTAAGGTTTATATATGCTTCACAGTGTTTGTGCTGCAGAGTGATTGCACTGAGGTCACAAAGAGAACTGGAGAACTTTTGGATAAGGCAGCAGACCTCCAGAAAGTTGGATGAGGTAGACAAGCATTCAAGCACCAGATGATTTGGTAAGGACAAACCTACCAGGCTGCTGCTCTTCTTCAGAAGATGGCTATCTTGGACTAACAAAGAACCAGGAGCAATTAGATGAAACCTTCCCAGCCAATTGTGGGTACCGTGGCAGTACAAGCTGTTGATACTGTGGTTTTGCTACAGTTGGCAAATGCTGCTAATAGGGCTGAAACACCTTTGAAAAGGTTTTAATTAATATTAGTCTTGGTTGATCACAAAAAAAGTCACAGGAATCAGTGTACTGACAATGATAAATGCAAGATGGGAACATTTGATATTTCTCTACCGACTCCAAGAAGGGATAAAATTAGAACAAAGTTTTCTCTTACCTCAGCATCATCTCCCTCAGGGCCAACAGTGAGCGCAAAGGAAAGAGAATGAGGTAAAGCAAGCATATTGCAGTATTTCCTCAAAACACACTGTGGCCTCCATTAATTTGCAGCTCATTGATAAATCAAACCACAGTAGTATTTGTGTATGAGAAGGATTTTCCTTCTACAAATTCTTTTAATCCATTTTCAAACTCATGCAAACTTCCATCAAGCAGAATATTCAATTACAAGGAATTCCACAGTTTAACTACACACTGCTTAAAATTTAAGTTTGTTTGCTTTAAATCTACCAACTTCTGGGAGATGCTCAGATATTATTCTCCTCAAAAAAGCATGCTAAATGATGAGTAGGCTATCTACTATTTCAGGGATTCTGTGTTTATGCCGTAGAGTCCTGGATTTTAAGTCACACTTGACCCCACATCTGGCTCAAGCTCCTCCAGCTTCAAGGACCAACATACTCCTTCCCTGCTTTCTCTCTTTTTCCAAGGACTGCTCAGCTAATCCTAAGGAACTACTCTAACCTCCCTGAATTTCTTTCTATGTCTCAAATTTTCAGACAAAATTCTCACCTGTAGTAGTGGAGAAAAAATGGTTAATTATTAACAGGTTCTCCAACACCCTGCAAGATTGTGCAAGGAAGAGTATGGGAAATGAAATATCAACACCAAAAAAAACCCAAAAGAGCTCCGTCACTGTGCCACTAATAATTCAACTGACCTACAAATTAACACTGCAGTGAAGGCATAATTAGGAAGTCTAACACATTTACTTTTGGTTATTCTATCAGATCCCCCTCAGGCACAAATATTTTTACATTTAACAGGAGAAAAGTCATGATCATACAGGCTTTATTTACATTTTTATTAAGTACTGATTTCCTAAACAGAACTTATCCTATTTGTAAAGGGGTTACTTTAAGAATTCTTAATAACTAATAACTATGCAGTTAAACAAAAGCCTGCATTACTCAAAACGAAAGATAACAGACAACCCATTCACACAGTAAGGCTTTCCATTAAAAATACTGAATCTACATTCAATGACAATAATTATATTAAAATACAAGCAAAATATTCAGGATTTACCTTCCCATTCTGTTGGAAAGTCACCCATTTCATACTGATATGCTTGGCGATTTATTGTTTCTACAAATCTTCTTTCTGGTATAATTTGTCCTATGGAAAATAAAAAAGAAAAAAAAAGGCAGTTAAATATATTTCTATATAATATTTAAATTGCTAATTATGTTATTGTTTTGAAAGAACTGTACTTATTCACAAAGTGCAATGATGTGTACTGGATAAAAATGAAGGATTAAAATACTGAGAAAATGATTACCATCTAGATCTCTATTTGAAATACTATGTGTTTCAGTAACTCTAACAAAAGCTTGCATGCTCTACAGTTGAATTGCATTTTCAATGACAAATATATTTTAAGTCAAATTATACACCTTGGTAAATCCATCCCTGTAAGAATGTTTCTCTGATGAAATGTCGATCAGTTTTCTATCAAATGTTTTTTATTTTCACCTGGATATCTTCCACACTGTTACAGGTGAAGGATTAAAAGTTTGATGCTGTTCTCAAGTCAGAACCCAGCACTGAAAGTTCACAAGCGAACTTTCCAAAGCTGTCAGGCCACATCATCTCCAATCACTGGCAACTGCTCTGTCCATGTGAGCCTTTTCACATATGCTTGCAAACTAAATCACAGAATCATAGAATGGTTTGGGTTGGAAGGGACGTCAAAGATCATCGAGTTCCAACCCCCCTGCCATGGGCAGGGACACCTCCCAGTAGAGCAGGTTGCTCAAAGCCCCATCCAGCCTGGCCTTGAACACTTCCAGGGATGGGGCATCCACAACTTCCCTGGGCAACCTGTTCCAGTGTCTCACCACCCTCACTGTAAAGAATTTCTTCCTGAGATCTAATATGAATCTTTTTTCTTCCAATTTAAAACCGTTTCCCCTTGTCCTATCACTACACTTCCTGGCAAAGAGTCCTTCTCCAGCTCTTCTATAGGCACCCTTCCAGTATTAAAGGCCGCTATAAGGTCTCCCCGGAGCCTTCTCTTCTCCAGGCTGAACAATCCCAGCTCCCTCAGCCTGTCTTCATAGGAGAGGTGCTCCATCCCTCTGATCATCTTCGTGGCCCTCCACTGCACCTGTTCCAGCTGGTCCATGTCCTTCCTGTGTTGAGGACTCCACAGCTGGTCACAGTATTCCAGGTGGGGTCTCTCAAGTGCAGAGTAGAGGGGCAGAATCACCTCCTGAGACCTGCTGGCATCACTTCTGATGCAGCCCAGGACATGGTTGCCTCTCTGGGCTGCCAGCGCGCACTGCCGGCTCATGTTGAGCTTCTCGTCCATAAGCACTCCCAAGTCCCTCTCCTCAGGGCTGCTCTCCAGCCATTCTCCACCCAACCTGTATTTGTGCCTGGCGTTGCCACGTCCCAGGTGCAGGACCCTGCACTTGGCTTGGTTGAACCTCATGCAATTTGCACAAGCCCACCTCTCCAGCTTGTCCAGGTCCCTCTGGATGGCATCCCTTCCCTCCAGTGTGTCAACTGCGCCACCGAGCTTGGTGTCATCAGCAACCTTGCTGAGGGTGCACTCTATCCCACTGTCCATGTCTCCAACATAGATGTTAAATAGTACTGGTCCCAGTACCATCTCCTGCGGAACACCACTCGTTACTGGCCGCCACCTGGACATTGAGCCAGCTCCTTATCCACCAAGTGGTCCATCCATTGAATCCATGAGTTTCCAATTTTGAGACCAGGATGTCGTGCGGGACAGTGTCAAAGCGTTGCATAAGTCCAGGTAGATGACATCAGTTGCTCTGCCCTTGTCTACCAAGTCTGTGGCAGTATCATACAAGGCCACCAAATTTGTCAGGCATGATTTGCCCTTGGTGAAGCCATGTTGTAAATATTTCCTATGTTAAAAACAAAAAACAGTAAGTAGCTCTCTGAGAGAAAACACTCAGTATACAGAGCCAGTGTGGAGAATTGGGATCTACATCTCACCCACAAATTCTACTACCGCCAAAGAGGAAGAATTATGATTCAACTGGTGATGCAGCACACAGCAGACTGACTGTCAGATATCATGCTACTGTTCAGAGAAAGAGTATTTTAATTTGCTTTTTGAATTACCAGATTCTGGAAAGACAAGCAAGTTTCCCATCCCTCAAGGGGAAAAAACCTAACAAAATTCCGTAGGCTTTTTCTCCCAGATTTTTCCCTTCCTGGGAGGCTGATATGGGGAAATTTGACATTTTGAGGAAACACAAACAGATATCTGCATAAAATATTTTCTCTCGTAATGATGTGATTAATGCAGTTCATTCCTTCCATATGCTTTCAACAAGTATTTCAAACGAAGTTATTTTAAAACTGAGAGCAGCCAGAAGTTACAATTCACCCATCTTGGGTTAATATCTTAAATGCATACTATTGTTTATTATTAAATGGTTAATACAGTAAAATAAGAATTTGTATAGAAACTGTAATTCCTTTTCTAAGTACCTTCTTTAGCCTTATAATATTTATTTTTAAGCAATGTAACATCTTTACAAAAAGAAAGAAAATAGTGTACCAAGATCAGACATTTTTAATGTGTTCAAAGATATAAACCAAATCATATACATACACAATTCCTATATGCTGAAGATAGTTTACTTCATAAACTTGCTTTAAAATAATTTCCTTTCAACAATACCATGGGCAATTCTATTTCTCAACCTCTTTATCTACAAAGCAAAACAAAAATACAGAAATACTTTCTTCCTATACTGATTTCCAGAAAAGCTGAAGACCTCTCTAATTAGGTTTGATCCTATATAGGTCTCAGAATTAACACTATTCTCCATTGTTGGAAATTCACTAGACTTTGCAGTTAGCAAAGAACCTTTTAAAAAAACTGTCCATAATTTGAGTCCTACACAGATAGAACAGATTGAGCAAACTGGCATAAGCAACGAAAAACTGTATTTTTCTACCTGCTACCATGGCTTGCAATTGATCCCATATCTTTATGCATTCCCAAATAAAACTTTTAAAGCTAATCTACTTTAAAAAAAATACACCGCTTTTTATTCTGCTGCAAACTTTCATAAGACACATGTAAAAAATTCATTCTCCAGATCCCACAGTGAAATCAAATTTTAGACTCAAACTCAGAAAATTATTTCCCAAAGATCTCATGTTGAAGAATCATCACACAATAGTGCTGGTGGCTCTTAGGCTATTTGTGATGCACACATGATACTAATTAACTGTCTGATTTGTCTTGTCCCCTAGGTTTCTTTTGGCAGATCACAGAATCACAGAATTGCCTAGGTTGGATGGGACCTTTAAGATCACGTAGTCCAACCATAAGAAAAAACCAAAACAAAACAAACCACCACACAACCACACACCACCAACCAACACTAAACCATATCCCCGAGCACTGTGTCAACTCATCTTTTGAATATCTCCAGGGATGGTGCCTCAACCACTTCCCTGGGTAGCCCATTCCAATGCTTGATAACCCTTTCCATGAAGTAATTTTTCCTAACATCCAACCTGAACCTCCCCTGGCGCAACTTGAGGCCATTTCCTCTTGTCCTGCTGACTGCAACTTGGGAGACGTGACCGACCCCCACCTCCCTACACCCTCCTTTCAGGTAGTTGTAGAGCACGATAAGGTCTCCCCTCAGCCTCCTCTTCTCCAGGCTGAACAACCCCAGCTCCCTCAGCCTCTCCTCATAAGACTTACTCTCCAGACCCCTCACCAGCTTCATTGCCCTTCTCTGGACCCGCTCCAGCACCTCAATGTCTTTTTTGTGGTAAGGGGCCCAAAACTGGACACAGTATTCGAGGTGGGGCCTCACCAGTGCCAAGTACAGGGGGGGACAATCACCTCTCAGGTCCTACTCGCCACACTATTTATGATACAGGCCAGGATGCTGTTGGCCTTCTTGGCCACCTGGGCACACTGCTGGCTCACTGTTGGCTGTCGTCTAACACCCCCAGGTCCTTTTCTGCCAGGCAGCTCTCCAGCCACTCTGCCCCCAGCCTGTAGTGCTGCAGGGGGTTGTTGTGACCCAAGTGCAGGACCTGGCACTTGGCCTTATTGAAAATCATCCTGTTGGTCTCAGGCCATCGATCCAGCCTGTCCAGATCCCTCTGCAAAGCTTCTCTACCCTCCAGCAGATCAACACTGCCACCCAGCTTGGTGTCGTCTGCAAACTTACTGAGGGTGCACTCCATCCCCTTGTCCAGATCATTGATAAAAATATTAAAGAGAATGGGTCCCAGTACCGAGCCCTGTGGGACACCACTCGTGACCGGCCACCAACTGGATTTGACTCCATTCACCACCACTCTCTGGGCCCGGCCCTCCAGCCAGTTTTTAACCCAGTGGAGGGTATTCCCATCTAAGCCATGGGCAGCCAGTTTCTCCAGGAGGATGCTGTGGGAGACTGTATCAAAGGCCTTGCTAAAATCCAGGTAAACAACATCCACAGCCTTTCCTTCATCCAGCAAGTGGGTCACTTTGTCATAGAAGGAGACCAGGTTTGTCAAGCAGGACCTGCCCCTCATGAACCCGTGCTGGCTGGGCCTGATCTCCTGGGTGTCCTTCATGTGCTGCATGACACTCAGGATGATCTGGTCCATGACCTTCCCTGGCACCGAGGTCAGACTGACAGGCCTGTGGTTCCCCGGATCATCATTCAGCCCCTACTTGTGGGTGGGAGTCACATTTGCCAGACGCCAGTTGGCTGGGACCTCCCCATTTTGCCAGGACTGCTGGTAAATGATGGACAGTAGCTCCACAAGCACTTCCGCCAGGTCCCTCAGTGTCCTCGGGTGGATCCCATCTGGGCCCATAGACTGACTGTGTCTAGGTGCTGGAGCAGGTCCCTCACCACTTCCCTTTGGATTACGGGGCCTTCATTCTGCTCCCTGCCCCCATCTGCTGGCTTGGGGGTCTGGGTACTCAGGGGACACCCTACTCCGCTACTAAAGACTGTGCCAAAGAAGGCATTCAGCACCTCAGCCTTCTCCTCACCCTTTGTCACTACGTTACCTCCCATATCCCCAAAGGGGCTCTATCAAGCAGACTCTTGAAAAGACCAAAGTCTGCCCTCCGGAAGATCACACTGAGGCCTCTTCAGATGTAATTA